AATACATTAGGAAAAGTATGATCCGGTCTAGAACCAAGTTGGATTTAATGACAACTGCTAAAAAATCCATGTCTTTGAAATATAGATCTAAAACAAAAATATTAATGAAATAGTAAATCAATGGGTAAAAAAATTCTAAACTGGGTATCCTATTCTCTGACCATCTTATCATTTGCATCGAAAGTAAGATTAAAAATTTCGAATTAATATCACTCATGTCCATTCGCCAATTTAAATATTCTTTTTGAACTATTTACATTGAATGTACAATTAGATAAGTCCTTCACTTAATTTTTGGACGTCATCCAACTTTGTTACTTACTTGCTTACTTACTTACTTACTTACTTACTTACTTACTTACTTACTTACTTACTTACTTACTTACTTACTTACTTACTTACTTACTTACTTACTTACTTACTTACTTACTTACTTACTTACTTACTTACTTACTTACTTACTTACTTACTTACTTACTTACTTACTTACTTACTTACTTACTTACTTACTTACTTACTTACTTACTTACTTACTTACTTACTTACTTACTTACTTACTTACTTACTTACTTACTTACTTACTTACTTACTTACTTACTTACTTACTTACTTACTTACTTACTTACTTACTTACTTACTTACTTACTTACTTACTTACTTACTTACTTACTTACTTACTTACTTACTTACTTACTTACTTACTTACTTACTTACTTACTTACTTACTTACTTACTTACTTACTTACTTACTTACTTACTTACTTACTTACTTACTTACTTACTTACTTACTTACTTACTTACTTACTTACTTACTTACTTACTTACTTACTTACTTACTTACTTACTTACTTACTTACTTACTTACTTACTTACTTACTTACTTACTTACTTACTTACTTACTTACTTACTTACTTACTTACTTACTTACTTACTTACTTACTTACTTACTTACTTACTTACTTACTTACTTACTTACTTACTTACGCCTGTTACTCCTCGTGAAGGAGCATATGCCGCTCACCAGCATTCGCCATCCAACACTGTCCTGGGAAATCCTTTCCAGCTCTTTCCACTTGTTATTCATCCTTTTCATATCTGATTCTGTTTCCCAACATAATGTGTTCTATAGCTTTCCTCTTCTCCGCTTCCCTTCAGGATTCCAACTTTAAGCTTGTCTCGTGATGCAGTTTGATGATTTGCGTAATGTATGTCCTATCCATTTCCATCATCTTTTCCTTATTTCTTCTTCAGCTGGAAGCTTATTTGTTCTCTCCAACAGGAAGCTGTTGCTGATGGTATCTGGCCAATCGATGTTGAGTATCTTGTGTAGACAGCCATTTATACATACTTGTACCTTCTTGATTGTGGTTGTTGTAGCTCACCAAGTTTCAGCTTCATACAGTAGAACTGCCTTGACGTTGGTATTGAAGATTCTCACTTTGACATTGGTTGAAAGTTGTTTTGAGTTCCATATGTTCTTCAATTGTAGGAATGCGACCATTGCTCTGCCAATCCTCACCTTTACGTCTGCATCTGAACCTCCCTGTTAATCGATTATGCTTCTCAGTTATGTGGAGGATTCTACATCTTCCAGGGTTTCGCCATCAAGAGTGATTGGATTGCTGTTCTCTACTTTGAATTTGAGAACCGAGGTTTTCCTCTTGTGTATGCCGAGGCCTACTGATGCAGAGACTGCTGCTACACTGGCTGTCTTCATCTGCACTTGTTCGTGTGTACGTGATAGGAGGGCTAGGTGATCTGCGAAGTCCAGATCGTCTAATTGGTTCTGAGCTGTCCATTGTATTCCGTGTTTTCCTTCAAATGTCGAGGTCTTCATAATCCAGTCAACCACCAGAAGAAAGAGAAAGGGAGAGAGTAAACAGCCTTGTCTGACTCCGGTCCTTACTTGGAATGCATCCGTCAGCTGTCCTCCATGCACTGCTTTGCACTGTAGTCCGTCGTATGAGTTCCGGATAATATTGACAATCTTCTCAGGAACTCCGTAGTGTCGAAGAAGTTTCCATAATGTCCTCCTATCTACACTGTCGAATGCCTTTTCATAATCAATGAAGTTGATGTATAGTGACGAGTTCCACTCAACTGATTGTTCGACGATGATCCGTAGTGTTGCAATTTGGTCTGTGCACGACCGATCCTTTCGGAATCCAGCTTGTTGATCTCGAAGTTGGGCATCTACTGCATCCTTCATCCGGTTCAGCAACACGCTGTTAAAGACCTCCCCTGGTATTGACAGTAGTGTGATGCCTCTGTAGTTTTTACATTTGCTCAGATCTCCTTTCTTTGGAATCTTGATGAGGTGTCCTTCTTTCCAGTCCATTGGCACTTGTTCCTCCTCCCAAATCTTTTTGAATAGAGGGTAAAGCATGCTTGTGGTTACTTCGATGTCTGACTTCAGTGGTTCAGCTGGCATTTGTCGGGTCCTGCTGCTTTCCCTCTCTTGATTTGTCTGGTGGCCGTTCTGATTTCTTCCGTCGTTGGTGGATTGACATCTATAAGAAGATCTGTGTGTGCTGCTTCGGTGTCCGATGGATTCATTGGAGCCGGCCTATTCAAGAGTTTCTCGAATACTCTACCCATCTGTTCCGCTTTTGTTGAATTTCAGTGGTTGGCCTGCCTTCTTTATCCTTGACCGGCCTCTGTGGTTTACTATATCTCCCTGCTAGTTTCTTCGTTGTATCGTAAAGCTGTTCCATATTTCCTTCTCTTGCAGCTTTTCCCGCCGTCGTTGCTAGTTCTTCTACATGTTTCTGTTTGTCGACTTTAATGCTCTTCCTCACTTGATTGTTTGCATCTATGTACTCAGCTTGTGCTTGGAATTTCTCTGCTCGTGTTCGGTTTTTGTTAATTGCTGCCTTTTTGTTATTCCTTTCCTTGATCCTGTCCAGTGATTCTCTAGAGATCCATTCCTTATGATGATGCTTTTTGAGACCCAGAACATCTTGACACGTTGAAGCTAATGTTTCTTTGATACCTTTCCAGTTGTCCTCGCATCAGAATGGTGAGGTCCTTTCTTGAGCATTTCTTTATGATTGACTGCAGCTGCTCGTAGAATTGATCTTTGATGTCGTCATTGGTGGGTGCATAACACTGGATAACATTCATTGTAATTCCCTCCGTTTTTGTTTTGAATGATGCTTTGATGATTCTGGATCCGTGTGATTCCCATCCTACAAGTGCATTTTGTGGTACTTCGGACAGCATTAGAGCAACTCCCTGAGTGTGTGGAGCATTTTCTTCTTCTTGACCGGAGTATAGCACCCGTATTTAGCCTTTGTTGTCGAGCTTTGTTCCAATGGGTTTCGCTGATTCCCAGTACTGCCAAATTGTATCTCCTCATTTCCGTTGCTATTTGACTGGTCTTTTCGGTCTCCCACATTGTTCGGACGTTCCATGTACCTTTAAAGATTGTTGCTCTGGTTGTTAGAAGGAGCATCGGCCTCGTGGCTTTCGAAGGATCTCGGCTTTCACCATGAAGCATCATAGTTCTTCTAAATGAAGACCTTCCAACTCCCAGGGCAGAGTTTAAATGGTTTGAATTATTCTTTCTGGTAAGCGTTTTTTAGCGAGTTAGTTTTCTAAGGGATGGGGTCGCTAACCCCATGCCCAACCCTCCTCTTTTACCCGGGTTTGGGACCGGCAGTAACTCTAGAAGAGCTACAGGCGGAGTTTTGGTTAATGAATGGACAGCTAAAATTAATCAAGAGCTCTATATTAATTCACAAAGTGATTACGGTGGTCAAGTGGGAGTAAAGTGGACCTTTCAAATCATTTAATAAATTCTATTTAATTTACTGTATAATTTACATAAACATCTTTTATATATATCTGAAGTCGTCAACATTCATTTCAACAAACATGATTCCGTATTCGTAAGAAACTCATACAACTATTTACATTTCTTTAATCATTAAAATAGTTAACATAAGAATGGATTACATTTTGCTATCACCTTTTGCTCAAATTTGTTTCTTTCATAAACCTGCAATCACAGCATCATCAGGATATGTTAAGTTAAAAATATGAACCAAGTTCAATGGGACAGATGTCACAAGTACCTTTATTATTTAAGCTAATCACTTGAATAATTAAATGAGTAAAATACCAGCTGTAATGCACCATAGTTTGTAAGTTAAACAAATACATATTTAAGACCTTGTTGTTCTAAAACTGGACTAATGACTATGTTTTTTTAAGTAAAACTAGAATAAAACTGAGGTAGAATAATGTGGTTTCAATGTATTGTGTAATATCACTCCAGCTGATTACAACCGCACGCGTATATATATAGCCTTCAATTGTCCATGTTCGTATTTTGGTGTGTTAAGCAACCTGAACTGTTTTTGTGGCCCTATATCTGACTCCAGTAATATCGTATGATTGATTGTTATTGAAATAATTACTGTCGAAATATACATCCTGACTATTCTCGTATACAATCATCGACTTAATTCGCATTGTTGAATAACCGAATTAAATAAGCCAAATACGAAAATGGATTTTGAATATGTATATTTCATGTACTCATTGATTTGATCAGGCAATCAAGGAGACGAAACAAAGAGGGAAGAGCGAAGCATATTGGAGAATACAAGTGTGCCAACTCCATTTAGCCAAGCGTTTATCGATATTTATAGTTACACACACAAGTTACAGAAATGTGATGAGTAAGATGAGAAATGTACATATATACGCTCATATAAAAATTATCAAGATTGATAAGTGATTAATTAACAAGGTTAAAATGTGACTCAAGAAGGGTGAAGCCAGAATAAGCTATGAGAACTCGACATAGTGCCATCCACTATAGTGTCTTCTCACCTGGTCTTCAAGTATTCTATTAAAGACCAACTTTTGTTGTACTGCAACTCTTCATTTCGTCTAAAAACTACGAGGTCACGTTCCGCAGACTATTACTTATAAGCAATGTTGTGAGCAATGTCTACCACATTGGTAATCGTTGTTATTTTATATCTTCATTCATTGGTTTCTTGGTAATACTCGCCTACTACTACTACTACTACTACTACTACTACTACTACTACTACTACTACTACTACTACTACTACTACTACTACTACTACTACTACTACTACTACTACTACTACTACTACTACTACTACTACTACTACTACTACTACTACTACTACTACTACTACTACTACTACTACTACTACTACTACTACTACTACTACTACTACTACTACTACTACTACTACTACTACTACTACTACTACTACTACTACTACTACTACTACTACTACTACTACTACTACTACTACTACTACTACTACTACTACTACTACTACTACTACTACTACTACTACTACTACTACTACTACTACTACTACTACTACTACTACTACTACTACTACTACTACTACTACTACTACTACTACTACTACTACTACTACTACTACTACTACTACTACTACTACTACTACTACTACTACTACTACTACTACTACTACTACTACTACTACTACTACTACTACTACTACTACTACTACTACTACTACTACTACTACTACTACTACTACTACTACTACTACTACTACTACTACTACTACTACTACTACCATCACCACTACTACTACTACTATTATGGTGCATGTTACTTATGTCGGCAGACAATCGAATGTGAAGAATCTGACAGCAAAATAGCTAAAAAGATGGAGTTGAAGAAAACATAAAAGGAAATAATAAAGAATTTTGAATTTGAAGAATCACACAGAATGTGGAGGACAATTGGTGGAAAATCTACAAATGAAGTATATAGTACATGGTTCTTATATTTTATGAAGATATTTTGTAATTTTGTATGAATCAATAAATTGGTTGTCACTACCCAAGTCACTTTCACAACACTCATTATTATTATTATTATTATTATTACTTATATATTTAGTTGATTTAGTTTGTTAAATGTAGTCATAATAGAATTTCTTTTAATTTTATTCTTTTCATCATTCTATCATACTTATTAGAATCGAAATTCCTAAATTTTAAACAACAAAACATTATTCTATTATTAGATAGAACTACAATGTTATATCATTGAAGTATGTATCTATTTCATATACTCTAAAAGTTATGCTTTATATAACGGTAAATATTCCTTCATCCTTTAGAAGTAAGAGAAGAAACAAAAAGAAAAAAAAAGATTTTTGACCTCATACCATTAAAAGTCAATTTAGCTTTTACGTATATTCTATTTTATTATTTATAATAAAAGTCAATTATCAATCATAATATACATAGAGTATTCTTTTTAATGTTTTTAAAAGGTCATAAATACCATGCCATACAGTTTTCACATTGAAATAACAATAAAAAACATTATAAATATCAATACCATTAGTTAGATTGGATCATTTTACTAATACTGATATCTTTAATTATAAAATATGGCATTATATGGCATGATTATCTTGTCTGGAGATCTTGATTGTTATTTTCATGAAATTCACTTTTGATTATACTGGGGTTTTTTTCACTTGAAGATCAGAACTTCAGTAAGAATTGTGTAAGGATTATGCTGGTCATTGGATTTTTCGTCCAAATTAAGACGAATCATTACTTAATTTATTAATTCTGAGGTTTGTATTCTGTAGAAAATAGTCAAATAACCATGTAATTTTTAATAAAAATTATGGTTCCAAACAGTTTGTGACTGATAGCTCCGTGATTCTCAGTGTTTTTCTGTTTGGTACCGATAAGTGTCAAAAAACTATCTCTACGTTACAATAATCTCCACAAACTATTTGAAGAAAGTCTATGATATTTATATCGTTCTAACGTGAACATCTGCACTCTTACATGGAACCAGACACTGAAAACTTAATTCTTAGGTGCAGAGAACGTCGAGTCACGTCGATTGGTGGATGTATATGGACTGTGTTAAAGAAGTTTATCAGCACTAAGAACTAGACAAACACGGAAATTTTAGTCAACCCACAATATCGAACTACCATAAGCGATGCCATTAGCTGATCATTGGTTGACTACATAGTTACTGTGGCAAAACATATGTATAAGTTTTTTTTACTACTAATAAGTAGTTTGAAAGTTTACATTGAAGTATGATTACAGACAGTGTTAAGTATGACAATTAACATGACTTTTATGTGGCAACAAAGGACCAGTTCCAGTCATACGTTTTGATGCTTTGTTTAGAAGTAACTGAGATTCAGCTGCCTGAGGGTATAAATAGCATTCGTTAAAAACACAAAGTGTTCCCGAGACTCTTTCTGCGAAGCAATTCAATAAAGGTCTGAAAGTACAAGGACAAGACCGTAATATCTACGGCTTATATATGAGTATTTAATGGATAACGTCAGAAATCCTAGGCACTTTATGTTTTTCTTACTTTCTCAGTAGGATTAATGACTCATCTTCATTATGAGGATATATTCATGTAATTCAACTTAATTCTTAGCTATTGTTGTTTTGACTATTTGATTCCCTTTTGCTTTGATTTTTTTTCCTATGTTAACTAAGTCTATCACCTCTAAATCAGTTTGTACTTTTACTTATCGCAATTTGTTACCTGATCTGTTGCACTGTTATCACTGACTTGGATTAACTTCATATTTTCTATATACATACGTAAATATTACTGTATATAAGAGTAGAGCCCGATGAATATCTAGTTGACAACAATGTGTCTTCTCATGTATGTAGTTCGAATCAGTGATTAGAAAATAGAATTTAACGGGACGATATGAAAACAGTAAGGGAATAAAACAAAAGGAAACTAATGTTTATTATTTAGACACAAAATAAATAAAAATACAAGTCAGTCTTACACTTTAAAATAAATTAACTAACGCCTAAACTTACTTACTTTGAAGTTCCTAGGATACATAGTTCAAGCTTCAAACTGTCTGCTTGCTGATTTTAAGGACTGTAATTGATCAGTCTCTGCTTACACTATGCATCGTGATCAGAATGCCTCGATGAGGAACTTCGGAGTAACTCAAGCCCTTCAACCTAAAAATGATAGTGAATGAAGAAATTCTTCCATGAATACGCTAAGATTGTTTGCTCTCGTAGAACACATGACACATGTTAACCAAGGGTGATGTATAAATGCTTTTACTGAAAACGAAATGTACAAAGAGACAACATATTTGAAGGAATACATGACTATGAAGATTGAATTATTAGAAAAAAGGCACAAACACTGCAAACGTATTTGATTACCAAGTCATTGTTTATGAATAATGGATAGATCGGCAATACTGAACCCCATCATAATTCGAACTTGTGATATTCAAACGAGGATAGTTCGGCAACACATAACGTCTTAAGCTATTAGTATTATTCTATTATTATTATTATTATGATCGTCACCATCATTGTTTTTTATTTCTTATGCACACATTAACCGTTTCTAATAGATATAGAGTGTTTAGTCCCAGTATATTTTCTATTATTTTTTTTTAATTAGAAAAATGTCATTTTTGAAAAGATAGTGCACATTTACAAACTTATCAATGAATGTCATACATTTCTAGTTTAAAGTTACTTCATCCTTCTGGTTCATACTGCATCAAACTATAGGAATATTCTTTTTAAGAATCAATTCATATCATAACGTGTATACCACTAAGGTATATTACATAAACAACTTCTTTTTAGAAAACATAAGAACCTGATTTGTAGATGATTACATCTACTACCATTAATTAAAATTAAGCCTACATAATAATTTGTTTGTATCAAATCAGTTATCATCTAATCATTGATGTGCATCAATTTCTGTGATTACGGCCAATATGGAAAATAATATGACGTTTTCAATTTGACTATTTGACATGTGATTTAACCATCTAATATTTGATAAGAGTGAAAAACTGTTTGTTTGTTTTTTCATTCGAATATTACTTATCAATGGAATGTGAATAGGACCTTGATTGTTTGATGTCTATGTAATTGTCATCTTACCGACATCAGAATCAATACAAAGACAATATAAACTGGATTCTAAAGAGAAAGAGATTACTGATTTATTAGGTTATATCATAAATCCTAACAAAATTGTTTTGCTTTTTTTATAATTCAAACAATAAATCATGGTTGATATTTAAAAAGTAATTTAACATCATTATAGTATTTACTGGAACATGTAAGGAGCAACCTAAAGTGATCAAATTTTTGATTATAATCAGCAGCCAAATAATTCACAAAATCATTGATATACGAATTTTATTCAGAAGAGTGAAAATACATTTCAACAAATATATTTAACAGAGAAGTCTGACAGAAAAAATGTCTCCCAGCACATTTTTATATTTTTTTATTGAGATTATGAACCGATTGATGTTAGACCACCACCTTTGGAAACCTGGAAGCAATGGACGGCCGTTTCGTCCTATTGTGGGACTCCTCAGCAGTGCGCATCCACGATCCCGCTCGCGGGATCAAGTTTAGAGTTATATGTAGATATTAACGTAATGAATAATCCCAAATTCTATGAAACATATCTCATACGTAAACCCAAATCAACAGAATTCTTCCCTCTCGACTTACGTAAAGTGATTTAATATGCACTTCTATCACTTCTGAAAATATTACATAAAAGATTTTTGGGCATACTCTTCGTCTACATTAAAAATAATTATTTCAGTTTCAGTTTGGAAAGGACAGGAGGCTTGATGGCCTGTGTTAGTGCTGACAACACTGGTCTTTCAGTTGATCCAACTTTCTTTTGAAAGAGTCGACGAATGTAGCCTCAACCACGTGCTGAGGTAATGAGTTCCACTAGTTGATGATTCGGTGGGAAAGTCGATATTCAGCTGACAAGTAATTTGTTCTAAGCTTGTGAAATTTTTGGAGTGTACTCGTAAATTCTCTGCTTTGGAAGACAAGAAAAACGAGGGTATATCAGGTGCAAATTTATCACTAAATGATTTGAAAACTGTAATCAAGTCGCCTCTAGTTCTACGATATGACAACGGGAAAAGGTTTAGCTTGGCCAGTCGAGCATCATACGGAAGCTTCGCTATTCCGGGAATCAGCTTAGTTGCTGTTCTCTGAACCTTTCCCAGAAGCTCACTGTCTTTTTTTAAGCAGCGGATAGCTGCTTTTATGCAGTACTCAAGTTTAGGACATACGAACACTGTATACAAAGTTAAAAACTTCTTAGCGTCGACATGAGTAAAAGCCCTACGTCTTAACCCTAAGGTTCTAAAACCTTTGGCAGCTATTGCACGGCAGTGCACAGTAGTCTTTAAGTCTTGGCTAACGATGACTCCTAAGTCATTATGTGTCCGGATAACAGGTAGCTCAGTGTTACTCATCGTGTATGTATCTGTGCCTTGATGACCGATATGTATCACAACACACTTGGAAGTATTTATTGGCAAGTGCCAGGTTTGAGGCCATTCAGATAATTTCTTCAGGTCATTTTGGAGTTCTAAGCTATCATCCTTACATCGTATCGTTCTCCATATCTTGACATCGTCAGCAAATAGCAAGACCGATGATGATAGGAGACGAGGAAGGTCATTTACATACAAGAGGAATAGCACTGGCCCCAAAACTGTACCCTGGGGCACTCCACTAAGCACAGTTTCCCAGCTGGTCAACTTGGAGTTCACCCGTACTCT